GGTGGCTGCTTTTGCTTCCATCTGATCTTCAGTGATTTGTAATTCACATCAATATCGATATGCCTGCTAATGCATGCCTATCTATTCACACTCTGATGAACTATATAATCCTGTGTTAGTCATCGATCTAGGTTAACTGTTTTTGAACATATCTCATCCGTCTGAAGACGAACTGGGGAACCAGATTCAAAAATTTACGTTATAAGATTACTCTTCCCAAAGGACTTCATTGCTCATAAAATATATCGCTTGGGATGCCAATTTTCCAATTAGTAGTATATTTCAGGTTGCAAAAAACAGAATATGGACTATAAGCCCGGACACATTGTAGGCTAATATTCTGTCACTGCATGTCAAAGCTGTGATAGATCCGCCTAACTACTGGATCCCACAAAATTAGTTTTCCTCGCCGATACCGTGGTGCCAAGCAATGCCGTTAATATGTTACAACCGATCAGCCTCTTTTTTATTGCAATTCCTCACTAATTTGATGCTTTAAATCAGAAAAACATTTTTAAGGGAAGGCAACTTTACTATTGTTGATCAGGGTCAGGGAAAACAAATATTCCTGCTCTGTCCACAATCGATGGTACCTGCAGGTTTTGCGGAATTACATTCAATTCCTCATCCATTTCGGAGAAACCTGATATATGATGAGTAACCGCAAAGTAATTGAATAATTTAGCAACGCTAATTTTTTCGGGAGGGGATATTTTTTAGGATTATTCCTAACGAGCGGTCTTGGCGAGCTCTCACGTCCCGTTATCAGTCCGTCCACAACAAAGGCCCCCGCGGACGGGCGCGCGTGAATGAGTCGAGGTCCCAAGAGGCGACCGGACAGAGGCGACCAGATGGCCAATCGAACAGCTAGGCGCATGAGGACACAATCTGATTGATCCCATCTATAACCTTTCTTATCATATAGCCTCATTCACGGGACACAATAAACGTCTTCCTTTCCTTTACGACCTGGTTCGTTGTTCTCCTTGTTGGACTGACACAAAGAGACTGGGGTGGCACAAATCTAGCTTGGGAAGCCATTACAGCAATACTGATTTTGGCAACAGTAGCTTATGTAGCCCCACTCAATATACAGTATAATTTATATCTGATGAAATATGAGGATCAATATTTTAGTGCGTTATTCAACACACATTTGAGGTAGGCCATTTTGTTCGTTGAGTTGACTTGAGGTGTAAAGTGCTGTTTACTAGCAAAGAATTTGGTTCAGCTCACTGTACTGGGGGCAAAACGGGGCCAAGTGGGGCCAAATTCAGCATTTGTTGATATCCAAAGAATTTTCTACGCTATTAAATGCTGCGGAAAATAAACTTCTTATTTTTGCAAAAGCAAATTACTTTTAATATAAAGTATATGATGTCCTTAAGTTATTTACCAAATTACAACTTATCGGGTCTTCTTTTCGGAAATGGAGATTTATTTGAAACTTAAAGATTTATTAAGAGACAATAATAATAATCATTTATATTTCTTAAAAATATTAATTCACTGAAGTTGGTTCATTAATATTTCAAAGTTATGGTATAGGCCTTAATGTCGGTTTGCGAATCATTATCAATCATTCGCAAATGTTGGCAGTTTGCAAGAGTTAGGGCTCAGATTGTTTATATCACCCACTTGCCTAGATACACCTATTTTGAACAGTATGTTTAAGCGTGCACAGTACGGACTATTTTTTAAGAGGGACAATACAGAATGTAAAATGGTTTTGCCCTTTTTTGTTGTGGTAGACGCGGCGCAGTACTTACCACCTAATTCCAGTCTCCTGGCGAAATGCAGTTACCAACTGTCTGACATTCCCTCCACATTTGTAAGTAGTAGAGGGCAAACTTGGCACCTTGTCGACATCATGGAAAATGAAGCAATTTATTCCATACAAACGGTCACCAAAAAGGCTTTGCCGTATCTCCTTGACTGCCACATTGAATAATTTGGCGCGATTGAATGGTTCATTACCAGCCTGTTCTGTAATGATTATAACATATTGCCCATCTTGTTTACTGAGGAAGGGAAGCATGCGAGAAAGAAAAGTGAACAAGTGTTTGCCTCGATTCCTATATGGCACAATGATAGCCACCTTCTCTTTTGTAATATTCCACGTTTGCTGATGCGTTTCCTTTAGAACTCTTATGTTTATGTCACGCAGTTCGATGTTCTCAAGGGATTGATTGAGCGACAAAGACCTGTTGTCGTTAACTGCACTCACATTTGTCATTGGCTTTGCCTTTTTAAGGTGTAAGGACATATTTCCAAAAAACGGCAGAATTGTCGGATTCCAAATGGGAAGGAGTGCACCCGAACATAAATAATACAATAGTTGAAAGCCGACGAAGAGGAATATGAGGCCCGTGCAAATAAGTAAACGTAAGTGATCAGATATTCTCATGCTTTTTCACTGGGACCCAAAGACGATGGGGAAAAAGTTTCTATCGATAACAAAGTACAGGCTCATTTTTGGTGTGGCTTTTTATAGATGACTAACGCGATCGAATGACGGATAGGTAGACAACCTTGAAACTGTGATGCTGCTTTCTGACTGGATGAGACCAATGAATGACTAAGAATAACACAGAACTCAGTCTAACTAGTCGTTAGCAGATGAATAGTGCTTTCTACGGAAGACTAGAATGGAGCTTAACATTGGTCCTTTTGTCTCAGTATGTAAGTATGCGAATGCTCTGACTGAATCGGCGACGGCTAACCTAGTGCTGGCTGTTCTCATATCCAGTTTATCCTTTTGGTCGCTTTTCTCTTCGGATAGCCTTGAGATTTCTTCAGTATTTAGAGCCGGATGCACTGAAGTTTGAATAGAAATAACAGGCACTGACTATGTTAGACTGGTGGACCTATTGACGGCAGTCTAGCAAAACATGAACTGTAGTCAGTTATTCCAGTTCGTATCCCTAGAAGTCCAAGCGAATATCGATAGCAAGGAAGTGACATGGAGCCTTGGAAAGTTGTACAGTATGGCCCTGGCACAGATAACGACAAAAAAGAGACAGTCCCCCCATTTTATTCTGCCTAGTTACCTTCCTTCGAGTAATTTACAAAATCTACCTATTTCAGTATCAGTCTCAATATATTATAGGGAGATGTAGGTGGGGTATCTTTGAGTTCCCTATTTGTACATGTGTATTGTGGTATCAGAAAAATAGTATCTCAATTTGTTAGTGAGGCCAATTGACATGAGCCAAT